ATTCCTGCTAATGGTTCTCCTTGGACCTGGCAGGGACGGGGAGACTCTCCCTCGTGGACGGTGCAGTGGAAAATCTCCGCCTTCGGCACCAGAAGTTGCTCAGTTCCTGCTAGCGGTGGTTAGGGCCCGCGTTTGCTAGCGCCGCGTTCGGTACGTGGCTAAACCCTGGACATCGTTACACTGTTGTGCAATAGCTGCTTTTCCGTGCGTACTAACCCTGGTAATATAAAGCAACAGGCAGCCGCTGAGGTTAATTGACACCCTAAAACATAGCATTTCCCATGGCTGTCTCTGGACAAATCCAGCGGGCTCGTCTGTGCAAAACCTAGCTGCCGCGTTTGTTGCTCGAGGAGATCTCTCTCTCTCTCTCTCCTTTTGGTTTCTTCAAGAAGGGCTGACAGGTTCTGGCCTTTTTTCGTTTTAATGGAAACGATTCTTCAGGCTTAGGGTTATCGAGACTGCGAGAGCTCTTTGGAGGTGCGGGAGAGGTGGAGGCAGACGGGTGTGAATCTAACCAAGTCCACACGTGCTACCAGTACCCCGAAAGTTCTCGCTCCGAGCCATGTCTGAGCAAAGGCAGAAAAGAGATGCAGGCCCTGGGTTTAACCAGCCCACGGGCCAGCCCCGGCCTGCAGAGAGGTCGGCTGTGACGTGGGGGTCAGCGGGACGGCCCCGCGGTGCTGCCCATCCGCACGTCTGCGCCTGGCCCCGGGGTGGAGGGGCTGGGGAAGCCGGCTGCCCGCCCTCCGTGCTGCCTCCGTGGGCAGCCAGCAGGACCTCCGAGCTGCAGCCAGACTTTGGGGCAAAGAAGGGGTAATGCACAGCGTCACTGTAAGGGTTTGGTTTAAGTGCCCGCGTCTCTGGGATGTCTCTGCGGAGCTGCTTGAAGCTGACTGACTTCACGTCGGCGCTGAGACAGGACAGGTCCTGGGCTGGGATTGAAGCCTGGGCGAGCAGGGGGCTGATGCTGACCCCTTAATTGCAGAGGAGCCGAGCGCACGCCTGCATTGCTGCTAAAGCAGCATCCTCGTGGCGCTTCACCTAGCGAGGGGCCATGGACCACGCCAGCACCACCTAGGAGAAAATGCTCGGTCTGGGGTCAGGGCTGGGCATGGAGGGAGGTTGTGGGAGCAGAGTGGCAAGACTCTTTTACACAACACCTGGTTAATGGGTGGGATTCATTGCCACGGGAGGTGGCAGAGAGCACAGCCGGGGTCAACAGGGCCCTGGATAAACTCCTGGAGGATCCACCTGTTAGCAGCTATTGAACAGGGCGGTCGGAGATGTTGCTCCTCCAGTACGGGCGGGTGGCAGGGAGGGTTGTGAATAGGGGAGAGGGCACTAGATCTGGCTCAGTGCACTCCCCCTGGGGCATCCGCTTCTGCCCCGGTCAGACGGGATACCCGGCTAGCTGGGCCGTCGGTCTGACCCCGGGGGCTCTACGTTCCAGGAGGGGCCGAGTCCGCGGCACCGTCGGGGGCAGCCACGCAGCTTGAACGCGAGGCAGTGGAAAAAGTGAAGGGACTAAAACTGGTGAGCAACATCTTTCCTCCCTGCATGGCTTGCCCTGGCATTTGTCACGAAGGGGGCCTCTGGGGAAAAGGAGGATGGAAAAGACCCGAACGTCTCGTACAGAAGAAAAGCCTCAAGAAAAAGCCCAGGGCATTCTTGCAGCGGTCTGCGTGTCGTGAGATGGGTTGTTTCCCCTCCTCGCAGGCCATCCGCCAAGCGTCACCGAGCTGGGACAGGGAGACGCGCGTGCTGTAAGACGAGTGTTGCCCAAGGATGATTCTTTTCCCCTGAAAATTTTGCTTCCTCCTGTTCCCTCATCTTCAGAGAGGCTGCCCAGGGGCCTACTCTTTATGGAAAGAGCATCTCCTCCCCAAGCTGGATAAGTCTCGTTTCATCAAAACTGGCTTTTTAAAGACCACCCCCCAAAATTTAAGCTGATTTGCTAGAAGGGGCCAGGACTTGGTGTTCGGTCTGCTCTGCTCAGCCGAGGGAATTGGCAGCTTAAACGTTCCTGCAGCTCTTAGACAAAAGCAGAAAGCCCAGCAGCTGGTCCCCAAAGTGCAAGGCAAGAGCTGGTCTGTTAAGAGCGTGAAGCGCCCGGTGGGAGGAAGATGCCAGATTGGCTCCTGTTTTCCAGCCCAGACAAAGCTGAAGAAGGTCTGAAGCATCTTGAGAGCAAAGAAATAGAAATGCTGCTGCCCAGGAGCTCACAGACCGACGTGGAGCTCCGCGCCATCCCAAGGGACTGGCTGGAGGCGCGTTTGCGCTGCAGTCAAAGGCACGTTGCTAGCTGCGATGACGTGCGCACGAAGATGCAGCGACCCGGGCCCTGCTGGGCCGTACGGAGCTCGTGGGGCACTGGGGTTATGTGCTCGGGCGGCCAGTCCACGCTGACGTTGGCACTGCTGCATCTTGATGGCATTTGGTACTGCAGGTAGTGTGGGTCTGGGACTGCGTCTCTTCACGCTGGACGAGGTGCACCTTGACCCTGCCTCCTGTAGCCATGGCTCAGGCCACGAGCAGGCAAGTTCCCTTCTCTTTTTGGCCTGTGTGTGAAGTTTTGCTGCGTTTGTGTGTGCAAAAGTGGGAGCAGGAAGGGGTCAGGTGTCCTGATCCCAGAAAGTGAAGTCCAGCCCAGGTGCGGCCCGGCCCGGCCCTGCCCCAGAGGCTCACGGTTGTGGTCGGGGCATCCGGCTTGTTACTTCCAAGCTTCCAGCCCTGTTGAGCGTGACGGCTCCTCGGGTCTCAGCAGGGGCTGAAATGAGGTTTTACTTCCCAAAGTGGTGCTCCAAAAACGGCCGTGTTTGTGAGAGGGCTCTGTCCCAAGCTGCTTACAAGATGAGCTCTCTCTCTCTCTCTCGGCTTTTACACCTCCAAGCTCGGCCGCAGCTCTGGAAGTCCCGCTGGGCTTCGCTCGTCTCCTGCGGCGTGACTCGTAACAGCGTTTTCTTGGTAGTAGATGAGCTGCTGGTAGCACCCATATCCCCCAGGGCTGGCAGTAGGTTGGCACAGGCAGAGCTCAGCAGTTTGGTGGAGGATGCCCAGGAATAGTTCCAGCTCTTGCGTGGGGCTGGGGAGTGGACAGGTCCTGCCGGCAGACCGGTTTTTGGGGAGGAAGGTGCTGCAGTGCTTCCCAGCCGGCTCAGGGTTTGCCTGCTGACAGTAAAACGCTGGTGCCCCGTTCGCATGAGGGGCTCTGCCGTCGCTGCAGGTTACTTGCAGGCCCTGGTTTCCCTGGTGTAGGCGAGGGAGATCTTCCCATGCACTTCCCATGAGCGTGCGATGAGCTCGTCTGCGCCGGGCACGGTGCATGGGTGTTTGATGAGCAGCCTGAGTGCTCTGGTCCCTGCCCGCTGCGTCCGCACCTGAATCCAGGCTGGGCCAAGGCGGCCACGGCAGGCTCCTGCGGCCCCGTCCGTGCCGGGCTGCTTGGTGCCACGTGCTCTGCTCCCCGGCAGGCTCATGCTTGTTGGGGCAAAGGCCAGTCTCTATTCCTCTGATGCTGGCTGTTTCCTGAGCATCCGTTTCGACATCAAATCCGATGCCCCTCATTACTGGAAAGAGAAACGTGAAAGGTAGCATGAGCGTGACACCGCAGCCGTGACGGTCCCAGAAGAGTAGAGGCAAGGTCTCTCTTTGGACCAGCTGCATCGCTGGGATAGTTAGACCCATTTTCGAATGCGAGGCATTTTTTGCAGGCCGCTGTGCTGGCTTGTACTGCTCTGCCCCGAGGAAGAACGTTTTGCGTGGGAAGCGGGGCTGACTTACCGACCGGCTGTGCTGCTGGGATGGAGATGTCCCCGAGCAATCCTTCCCCCTCGAAGCGTAAGACGTTCTCCCAAAACCGCGGGGTGCAGAGAGGAGGGTCCGTGAGCTCAGATAGGTTCTCGCTATCAGTGATCTTGAATATGAACAGATAGGAAGCGAGGGTGGCTCGGCCAAAGAGGCTCAGGAAGAGGGAGCTTTTAATAATGGGACAGCATTTCCCGGCTGAGGGTTCAGGCTCGTGAGCCTTACAGACGTGACAGGTGAGCCCAGGAAGTGCCCGTGGGCATGGGCTGGAGCTGACACGCTGCGGGGACGGCTGCTTCCTATGTCGGGGCAGGCGCTGGCTTTGGAGGAAAGGGCCACTGCAGTTAACACTGCCTTGATTTCCCCAGCTTCAGCGACCTGGAGCTTCCCATAATCTGAGACGGGTCCCATCCGCCAACACCCACATTGCTGTGCAGTCCGTCAGAGGCAGGGGCACCAGACCAGGGGATGGCGGCTCTCGGCCCTCGGGCAACAGGACTGGGCGAGCGGGGGTGTCTGCTCTGGGGTGTTTTAGCCCACCCTGGTGCAAACCGCTGAAGGGAGGCGTCCATCCGTGCTCCTTCCCATGTCACGATACAGTGACTTGTGGTCTCCAGGGGTTAGGGTTAGGGACACAGACCCTGGAGAACAAGATCTAAGGTCCCCACTTGCTGTCACAACCATAGAGCTCGTGTGTGGGGCGGCAGGAGCAGAGCCGTGCATTCGGGGAAGGGGCAAGGGAGCTCTGCCCGGTCCTACCCTGCCCTGTCTGCATTGAGCCGTGTCTGGTGCTGCTCTCTTGCAACCTGGTTGGGGGGGTCCGTGCGTCTTCTAAGTGCTCGAAGGAGCAAACAGCTCTTTAAGATCCCGGGCGGCCCGTGCACGCTGCTAGCCGGCCGCAGGCTTCCCGAAGGGCTCGTGGGCACGGTGCCGACACCGGCATCTCCCTTCGGGAGGCTGTTGGCACCGCCGCAGGCAGAAACACCCGCCCTCAGAGTGTGGTTTTCTTCTTCTTTGCAATTTTTCCTTCAAGTAAAAAAACCAACCTTGCTAATTAAAGAAATTAG